CCGGCGACTTGGGGGAGGGCAGGGGCGGCACTGCTGGCGGGGCGCTGGGGTCCGATGACATGGTGGGGCCGGCGGGCTCCTCCGTTTTGGGGATGGGCAGGTGGGCAGCAGGAGAAAGGGCACCCGGGCGCGCGGGTCTGCTGCCTGTGACCTGGGGAGCAAAGGGGGGGCGGTTACAGGCCCCCCGGGGGGGCTTTTGGTGAGGGCAGTTTGCTGTCAGGATTTGCCCCCTCTGCTCCTGGCCCCACATCTGTGGGGGCAGGTAGCATGCTGCCGGCCTTCGGTACTGAACACCAACCCCTGGCACTGGGAATCGCCCCGGTAAGCCTGTCCTGGCTTGGAGCAACCCGGGATGTTCCAGCAAATCAATCCCGAGGGAAGGAACGAGCCTGGTCTGTGGCTTTGTCTTTCATTTTCCAGGATAATCCCACATATTAGAGATGAAGTCGCTAAAAAGCACGCCCTGGGAGAAGGAGCAGCTGAGCACGGGCTGCCACGGGCAGGGACCATTTTGGGAAGAGGATCACCCACCCATTTGGGAAGGATGCCCATGCAGTGCCAGCACGCCCAGGCCCCCAGCCCTGGCCTCCGAGATCTCCCCCCAGCCCAAGATTTCTGGTAAAAGGGTGAAGCAAAAAGGCTGAGACAACAGGCAGGTCAAGGTCAGCGGTCTGAGGTCTCCCCACCACTGGAGGTTGCCTCAGCACTATGGGATTTAGGACCCAACCCCAGCCCGAGCCAGTGGGTCACTGCCCGCCTGGGCACATCCCTACGGGGAAGGGACACCGGAAGGCTATTGTGGGGCCGCGGGCAGCACACACACCCCTTGGGCACCTCAGACAAGCCACAACACAAGCACAACCTCCTGCCACTGCGGTCATTGGGCTCCAGTTTTTGGCTGGCATCACGCAGTTTCCAAGGAGTTAAAGCCCCAAGGGGCAGAAACCCAGCAACCTTCGGCTGCTGGAGGATGTGCAAGACGTGGCCTGACGGCCAGGTCGCCTGCCAAAGAGCAGGAGTCAGAGCAAGCATGGGCACGGCTGTCCTTGCCGAACCACCCGGAGCATGAAATTGGGGGGGTGGTGAGTGTAATGTGTGCATTTTTAAGCCTCCCAGTGAGATGCTCTAGTGCGTGATCAGCACTGCGGCCGCTTGCTCAGAAAGCCTTTGCTCTGCTGATTTCTCTTCCCATCAGTAGCTTGCATCTGATGCTGGGTGCCTCTGTCTCGGGGTGCCCCACGCCAGTGGCTGCTTGGGGGCACTGCTTTCTGGGGGTGCTGGGTGGGGGCTCACCCGTCTCCATCACCCCTCAGGCTCAGGGGGCTCACCCATCTCCATCACCCCTCAGGCTCAGGGCTTTCCCCACCACCCGGAGCTGAGGAGCCCAACGTCCCATGGAGTTACCATCCCCTTCCCCGCCACCCCCTCCAGCTCTTCCCACCCCACTGCGGCATGTGGCATCTTTTGGGACGACACCTGCACACACTGGGAAACCCAGAGAATATTTAATTTGGTTTCTGACTCATCTGTGGCCCCTTGAGATGCAGAGGCCCTGGGGGGATGTGCGAAAGGGGGTCACCTCCGCTCTGAAATTAGCAGGCACCAAGGACATGGGAAAAGGTTTCTAGAGCAGCTGAAATTTCAGGGAGGAACGAGGCGACTCCTGTTCCCCTCGTCCACCTCCACTTGCTTCCCCTGCCTGGGGGGTCTGCCTGCCAGTGGGTCCCGACGGCTGCCAGTCCAGCTTTGGTGCCCATCCACGCCTCAGCTAGTGTCCCAACAGCTGCCCCCTCTCAGCCCTGCCGAGCTTCACCCCAAGGTCCAGGCGGCAGAGGCCACACTAGAGTCCCACCCCAAGGCAGAAGCCACCACTTTCCTCCTGCCCTCCGAGAAGACTTCCAGCCATGGCCGCAAACCCCTCCGAAACGTCTCTCCCCTTGCTGGCTTCCCATCCACCTCTGCACCAAACCCTTCATGCGCCTCAGCTGCTCCTCTCTGCCATGAAGCAACTGGAGCACACGCACCTGCCTTCTGCTCCACGGCCCACCCCACACCGGGGCTGCTCAGCTCCTGCCCTGCCAGGCTCAGCATCTCCTGCCTCCATGCCCAGGTTCAACATCTCCTGCCCCCATGGCCAGGCTCAGCATCTCCTGTCCCCGTGCCCAGGCTCAGCGTCTCCTGCCTCCATGCCCAGGCTCAGCATCCCCTGCCCCTGTGGCCAGGCTCAGCATCTCCTGCCCCCGTGCCCAGGCTCAGCATCTCCTGCCCCTGTGCCCAAGCTCAGCCTCTTTCCCCCATGTCCTGGCTCAGCATCTCCTTCTCCCATTTCCAGGCTCAGGCTCACCACCTCCTTGCCCCATACCTGAGGAGCTCAGAGAGGCTCAGGGAGCACCCAAGCGAGACACCCAAAAGCCAGGGCAGCCACCAAGCGGCTTCTCTGCCTTCTCTGTGGCTTCTCAGTGGCCCCCATCCGACCACCCTGCCTGCGCTGGCAAGCAGCCTGGCCGCTTGGGCAGCACAAAAAGGGATGTGGTCCCCAGGCGTCGCTGCAGGATCTGGCACCTTCCCAGCAGGTGTCAGGGCTGGACAAGCAGGACGATTTGAGGGAAGCGGCCCTCAGTTCTCTGCCACATCATGGAGCCGCCACTATGAAAATGGCTTCACCACGGCGCGCCTCCTCTGTGTGCGCTTTTGCTGAGGAGGCCTTTCAGTTCCCCCACCAGATTAGGGACAATGGAGGGTATTTAACCTGAATAACGATGCTTGGAGCAAACTATTAGTATGCTGAGGGGGTTGGTTGGCACCCGGAGAAAGAGCTTCCTCTGGCGGGTCCACAAGGGGCTGGAAAAATGGAAGTTTCCCAGAGGCAAAAGGAAAATGGGTGAAGAGGCGTGCAAGAGGGGGAGCCTTGCATGGACAAAATGGCGTGGGCAGATGAAATGGCAACGGAGAGTGGCTTTGCTCCAGGTTCACCTGTGGGACCAGCCCAGGCTGGGGTGCTTTGGAACGCTCCCTGGTTCGGGGGATGAGCAGTGGTGGGGAGCAGGAGCATGCTGGGCATCACTGGGGGAGAGGAGGCAGACAGCCCGCTCCTGAGGCCCAAGAGCAGCAGCGGAGGGTGCCCTCCTAGGGCTGCCATTTGCCCCCACAAGCTGAGCTTGCCCCACATGGGAGAATAAGCTGGGCGCAATTGCCTGCAGGCACTTTGGGGGGCTTCGGCTGGCCCATGGGGATGTGGAAGAGAGCCCTGGTGCGGGGCAGCAGCTCACCAGGATGAGCATGGGGACAGTGCACAGTGAGGCTGTGGAATCCCCGTCCTCAGGGGTATGCAAACCCCCCCGGGCATGTCCCTGAGCAGCCTGTTCTAACTGAGGCATTGCACCTAAGTCCTGCTTGGAGCAGGGCCTAGAGCAGAGACCCCCGTCCTGTGGCAATGCCAAGGCTGGCTCCCACGGCCAGCAGCGCTCTGCCCCTCACCAGCGCCTGGCTCGAGCACCCCAAATTTGTGGGTCAGCCTTGGGGCCTGGCAGCTGAACTCCCGGCTTTGCCCATGCCAGTGAAGCGGGAGCCTTGGCACCCCAGGGGCTCCGGGGCGGTATCCTGCCTCCCGACTCATTTAAATCCCCGCAGCAAACAAAGGGACCGAGGAAATTAAACTCAGGCAAAAGCAGGCTGAGAGAAGAGGGGAGACACAACTATGTCCTCACCGATGTCTCCTCCCCTCCCAGCCCAGACGGAGAGCAGGGAAAGCCTCTCCTGTCCATCTCCTTCCCTCCCTGTACTCCACCCCACCATCCTCTCCCCAACCCTTTCTCCAAGCTGCAGCCCCAGCAGGCGACAAAGAGGGGGCACCTGGGGCACGGGAGGTATTCTCCCCCCTCTCCTCCATTGCCAGCAATCATGCTAACCTCCGCCGGGGCAGAGAGCATCTCTCCTCACCCCGGGTCTCTCCCAGCTGGCAGACCACCCACCACGACACTGTGTCCACCCCACACAGGTATATGGTGTCGGGACAAAATCCGGGTCACTTGAAGAAGCAAGCAGAGGCTGCACGACCTGCGGGGCACGAGAAGCCTTTCCAGCATAACCCTCCCCTCCACTGCTGCTGCCAGACCTCCACCTCGCTCCTCCCTGTCTCCCCTCTGTGGCTTTGCTCCAAGGGTCCCCCAGGGTGACAGTCCTCCGAGCCAAGGACGTGTGCAAGCGGCACCAAGCCCAGCACTCCCTGGAAGGATGCTCTTCATAAAAAACACATCCCACCCTGTCCATCTTCCCCCCTCCCCAAAGAAACCATCCTGGAGCAAAACCCCAGAGCCCTCTGGTGACAGGGTTTCCTTCGGCAGCAGCAGCCGGCTTTGCTTTTATATTTTTTGGAGGGCAGGCTTCCGAGCCGAGCTGACAGTCGGGAGCGCTCGCAGGCGAACACAGGAAACCCAGGCCAATTAAGGCAGACAGGCAGTAGACACATCAGCTTTTATCTCGAGATCCAAGTACCCCATTCATCACCAGCGACTGAAAGGTCTGCGGTTTATCAAATAAAATCACTGTCACTCTCCCTCTCTTTAAAGCCAAATACATTGACTTGGGTGCTGGCTGTGACCTTGTTTAACTAAACAGCCTTTCAAGGTCCCCCAGAAGGGGGGAAGGAGCCTTTTGAAGAGGCACCAGCCTCTGTCTGCCACTCCCCGTTCATTAGCGGCGGCGAAGAAAAACCCCTCACGCGTCCCTCTGCCGGGCGGGGGAATACATATTTAATTGGCTTAATTGCCCTTGGCGAGTCAGCCCTCCCGCGTGGCGCTTCTTTGTGCTCCTTCCCATCCGCCGGAACCCCCCCGGCTGCCCAGGACAGATGAAGGGACGGGCAGCCGCTCTGCCGGTGGCTGTCATGCTCCGGCTCTGGACGTGACCCTTCGGCTGGCCTGCTGTCGCCTTTATGGGCCGTTCCCTTTCACGCCGCCGTGTCCCTTTGCAAATCCCCGGCTTGGATGCCGTCTGCCACCACGCTCAGGTCTCCCGAGTGTCGCCGCTCCCTCCGCCCCAGCCAAGGAGCTGGAGGCTCTC